TCAAAAATTTTAACGGTCCGAAGTGGAGCGACCGAATTTTTTTTTTTCATTTTTTTAATCAACTTTTCTGGGCAAGTTTTTTGCGCTGATTGTTTGGTTTTATCTTACATAATTCGGACCTGAGGAATCCAATGATGCTAACGGTTTTGACCGATCGATTCGAAGTTCACAAAATAATCGGCCCATTAGAATGATATTTTGAAGTTAAATTTGTTTTCATTCGATCGGTATGAAAATTGATATTGAGGAGTTTTTGGGTAGTGAAACCCGAATCTGATATTCATTTTGACATACAATTAAATTTCGACCCACTTTCCATACAAAAATGTGAAATTTTCCATATCTTGCCATTTTAGATAAATTTTCTACTGGAAATATTTCAAAATATGATTTTATCTGAAAATAAATATCAGATTCGGGTTTCCCGTATCCAAAAGCCCCCCAATACCAAGCTGTTCCCCAAATTACCAACTTTCATACCGATCGAATGAAAAAAAAATTGTAACTCCAAAATATCATTCGAAGGGGTAGGTTCGAAGCCGATTATCTTATGAAATTCGAATCGATCGGTCAAAACCGTTAGCACCATTAGATTCCTCAGGTCCGAATTATGTAAGATCGGTGGTAAAACCAAACAATCAGCGCTAAAAACCGACCCATAAAAGTCGATTCAAAAAAATCAAAAAAAAAAAAAAAAAAAATTCGGTCGCTCCATTTCGGACCGTTAAAAATTTTGACATACCCATAAAAATTTGTAATCTGAAAATGTGCATACCGGACCAAAATTGGATGCTCTTTCGATTTCTGGCATAAAAAAGATAGGTTTATCACATGCTTTTTCGAGATAAATTAAGATTTTCCTCGATTTTCGATGATTTTTTTCACTTTTGGTCAACCCACTTTGACCGTCTCCACTGAAACTTTTTTTGAATTTTTTTCATGGTATTCTCAAGAGGATCGAGAAACCATTCCAACAAGACAATAATCAAAAATTGCTTTTGAAAAACACCGCTGTAGTGACCGTCCGTGAAAATCAACCAGAAAATAGAAAAACTTGACCCTAAGGGGCCTAGGGCTGTAACCCTACTAAAACAGCCGATTTGGGAAAAGTGCTCATACACTTTTTTACTCCTCTTGAGCTGATGAATCTGTGGTAGAGAGATTAGCATAGAATTGTGAATCACCCTGTATTATGTGGAACTTATAAGGTTATTTCATGGGGTTCCCATTGGACATTGGTAGACTTTGATCATGGATTTGTTGCTTGTTATTTTGTAAGCGAACTATTTGAATGTAAAAATAGTTTTTCTAGAATATATACTTGCCCATTATAATAAAAGCACATATAACCAAAGAAAACCATTTAAACCGAACAAATTCACTTATTTAAAAGCATGAAAACTTATGAAGACGAGTTGCAAATTTACATGTAATTACGTGTTTTTTGTTCAGTAATTTTTAACTGAAAATAAAAAATATATTTTATTATTATTTGGATGGAAGAAATATTCGTATCACCATATATATCCATGTTTGTTTTGAAGCGATGAATGTAGAAAAAAGAAAAACAAATTAAACCAAACAATCAATTTATATGAAAAGTAAATATAACACTACGATTATTAAAACTAATAACTAATAACCAAAAAATAAAAAATAAATGAAAAAATTGTTTTTTTTTATACTTTTATTTTAATGAGTTTTGTATAAACATTTTATTTTTCTAGTTTTGATCTGAGCTTCCCTTCGTTCAAAAACCTAAATTATTTATTATCGAATGAAGAATGTTGTTCACTTAAAGAAATCTAACTAAAAATAAGAAAATAATCAAATGGAACATGGTTAAATCTCCATACAATCGTCAGCTATATTGGGCGTTTTGATTACACCAACAGATCCTGGAACCTGAATTAATGAAAAAAAATGAAAATTTACATTTGATATGAAAATAAACTTGCCTCTGGTTTTGGTCGATGAGTGTCTACAGCTTCAATTGGTAGTTTTATGTGTTCCACCTTACAACCATATGCAACAGGCGTCAATTTGATTATTGTATGTAAGGGCACTTCTAGGTACGGAAGCTCCTCTGTAAAGTAATACATTTATTTGATGTATTATTATTATTATTATTATTATTATTATTTTGTTTTGTTTTGTTTTGTTTTCAAATTGACATTGAGCAGAAATAATAAAACACTGTTATACCATAATAATAAAAAGAATGTTTTGCATTTTTTTCTTGTTAAACAATATATTTAAACATAAACACAAGAATAGAGAGTGAACGAAACCATATAAATATGAAGTACAGAAGTTCTCTAATCATTAATTCCAACGTAGTTGTAAGTGTCGTTCGTAATTCAAAATGGATCGTGCCGTTATTGCAAGTATTCTAATAATGCTGGTGAGCTGTTCAGCAAAACAAGTTTTTTTTGAACTATCAAACGATCCAAACTATCCACAACTCATAAGTGTATCAAATGTTAACTATAAATTAATGATGAACAAATTCATTGACGTAAATGCCACTGTGATTATTTACGAAGAAATTAACGATGGAACTAATGTAAATCTTTTTCTTGTGTCCAAAAATTTAATTGAATCGAGAATATTCACAACTCTTCTTTTTCATAATCTAGGTAAAAGTCAGTGTTTCGCCCGAGTTTCCATATGCAAGACTGTTGAATAATGTTGATGTTAACTTATGCACATTTGTTCGAAAGGAATGGCCCATGTATGGACGATTAATTGAAGCAAGCAATGGACAGTTTCCAGAACGATGCCCGATACGTCCTGGCATTTATACAATTCAAAATATGAGAGTGGATCTAGATAGATATCCCCTTCTTTGGCGTGGATTCAATTCAGTCGCTTCAATAACGCTTCATAAAAATGGACGTATATTAACGAAAGTCAACTTCAAAGTTGGCTTGAAATTGTAAAACTATTGTAAAAAAAACTAAAATTGTGAACCATTGTTTGAAATTGATTGCTTTAGAATAAAAACAGCGTATGAAAAGGTTGCATTTCAAAGCGAAACACCGTCATACAAAATACAGCAAAAAATGTATGTAAAAACAACCTTTGGTTGTGCGACCATATCATACGCTGTATTTATTCTAGAGAATTCAATTGTAGCTATTGCAAAAACCACATTTTCTTTCAGTCAATCAATAAGACCACAACAGTTTTATACGTATACAATTTTTCCAATTGGTCTCAGCCTCAAAATTATCTGTCAACATTTTTTTTTTTTTTGAAATAAACATTTGAAATCATACGCATAAAACGATTTTTTTTTACTCACAAATTCCAAATATAAAATAAAAAGTTCTCACCGATGTTTGACTACTAAATGTAATATTTTTTTAAATTCTCTATTATTCTTCAATCGGTTGTTTGAATACATCATGGGTCTTCGGCTGACTTGCATTGACGTTTGCCTTTTGCTTACGTTCCTTCTTCTTAATTTGCTTATAAATTCGGATTTTTTTGGATTTCTTGGCTTCTAATTGATGTTGTTTCCGAACTGGAGCACAATCAAAATATTTCAAAAGAAATTTTCCGAATTTTCGTTTTTCTTGTTCTTGCATTCCCACAAATTTATTCACATCGGTTGGAAGTTGTAGCTTGCGGTCGGATTTTTGCAGTATGCCAAATGGCCACAGTACTCCACAGCTTTACTTGTCGACTTCAATACACATTATGTGTATTCCTGCGTAGTGCCTTCTTCCATTAATGCCAGTGACAAGGGATGTGAGGTGAAATCATTGAGTCCAAATTTATAAGCAAATTAAGAAGAAGGTACGAAAGCAAAAGGCAAACGTCAATGCAAGTCGGCCGAAGACCCATGATGTATTCAAACAACCGATTGAAGAATAATAAAGAATTTAAGCAAAGATTACATTTAGTAGTTCCACTTGATGTAACAGACCAATAAATTTTTTAAATAAATATTACGAAATATAAGTACATTTATCATGACTCTCATATTAGGCTAAGTACCTGCAGGTTTGTCTAAGAAATACGCTAGTAGGCACCTAAGTACAGCTTGGTGTGAGACAACCAAAACATTTCCCTGTCGTTCCAATTCCATTATAACCGGTTCAAGACGAGCGACTAAATCTTCATAGCTTTCTCCTCGGGGATAGCGGTAATAGAATTTATTCATATCGCGAGCCTTGAAATCTTGGGGGAATTTCTCAGCAATTTGATCGTAAGTCATTTCATCACAGATACCTAATGTGTGTGACCAAAAAAAAAATAATTATATAGGAGTTTTAAAAAATATATTATAATCTTCGTCACAAATACCGGCATCTATTTCATTCAGAGCTTTCCATCGTTCTTGTGGAGCTGGGACGTCAGCTACAGTCTGTATTGCCCTTTTGAGTCTGGATGTCCAAACACGTAATCCCTCGATTTGCTGTTGTTCAATATATTTTGCTAAGGATTTTGCATAAGAGTAACCCCGATGGCTAAGATCAGAATCACCACCAATCAGTCCAGCTAAATTGTGTTCACTTTCTCCATGCTGTATTTTATTTGAAAGCATAAATTAGTTAGTTTTTTTAATACTTAATTGTTGTTCACGCTGATATAAAATTGAATCAATTCATTTCAGTCAACGCGCTTAATAACAGTCAAAAGTTCAATTGTTGTCCTTCAATACATACTCGGGTCAGATAGATCGTTCGTGGTGTAATATGAATGTTCATTAGATAATAAACAATCCGTGATTGAATGTGTCCTTCATGCTTGTGCACTACCACCTTTTCACCAGTGTTGTAAATTTTCATATATGATAAATCCTTTTCAATAATTTCATCGAGTAATTGATATTTCTCCTGGTAGTGTTCTATGCGCAATAAAAAGTCTCTTAAAACTGCATCTGTATTCATATTGGTGTAATCGGGACTGCTAACTTTCACTTCCTGCCATCAAAATTATGTATACTCTTAAATTATATACACTATAGAACGTATAAATATATACAAGTATTTGGAATTGAAAATCACAAAGTTGTAAGAATAGAAGCAAATTGAATAGATCGCACGCAAAAACGAACTCAATGCGAATGTCAATCAATGTGTCTCATGTAAATCAGTATTGATGCTAAAAACATGACATAGTTGCGTTTTTGGGAGAGATACTCATATCGCGGTAATGAAACGACAACAACAATTTTTAGTGGTTTTAAAAAATATTCTTCAAATCGTTTAGTGAACTATGTTTTTCCTGTTACAGGCTCGTTATAATGAACGAATATTGCCACGATTTTTCGTTTTAATGAATTTTAAAATAGTTCCACTCAGGTCGAAATCATCTAGCTTTTTATAAGGTATTTTACTGCGTGCACCCATGGGTTATTAACATTTCATCATTAACATGACATTACTACGCTTACATTTTTGTGAGTAAACTTGTGTGGTTGAATTTTTACTCAAAATAATATAGTAGCAAATTCGACCCAAAGAATTTTAGTAGCATACATAACAACTTCATGTTATTCATATGCAAAAACGATTTGAAATTTGGTGGCAAAAAGTATCCGGAACTGATTTATTCATGACAAGCTTTCATTCATTTTCATTTACCACAAAAAAGCTTTTACCTTTCTGAAACAGAGTTTGTTGAATGATTGCAAATATTTGCTCATGAATTTCAAGCTAATTTTCGTAGTGTTATTATAATAGCTTGGTATTTACAGTATACATACCATAATGTTTTGTTCAATTATCTGTGGATCATCACAAATTGATTCTACAAAAAATAGCTTGTAGCCCCACTTGTTAACCACAATATCGAAGATCATTTTCCGGCGTTCAGCGGTTGAGTTGGTTGCATCAAAAACCTGATAATTAGAATAATTTAAATATTTCGCCATATTGCAATATAAATATATTCAATCTTACAGCAACTTCGCCTTTCTCCTGTAACCATTTGCATGCATCTTCCAAAGCTCGAACGGCACATTCAGTGCGAATAGCCATTGCTTCTTGATTGTCAGGCCGGAAGAATTCATGGCTTTTATATGCGGATGTAGCAGATCGTCGATACTCTCCTAAATTGTATACTTTTGTGAATATTCCAATCCAATTTAAGTAGCGGGCTAATTTTTTTGATATATACGTTTTTCCACGTGCCGGCAATCCGACCATGGCAATAACATGCGGTTTATTTACATAATTAACACGTTCGCCTGATAATAAATAATAAACCCACGCAAAGCAAACAAGGGAGAGAAAGAGACAGAGAGAGAGAGAGAGAGAGAGAGAGCGAGAAAATAAATGAACAAAAATTGGTAAATAATTTGATAAATAAAAGATTGTAAAATTTGGAAGTTTTTAAATGCCCTCTGTCTGTAGCTTATGACACGTATCAATTGATGTTAAAACAAATCAAATTGTAAAATGTCATGAGGGTTATCAAAAGAAATTTCTATTTACCATCGCCAAATGTTTCTTTTGACAAAAACTTCCATCCCAGTGACTTAAAATCCATAATATATTGATATTGTTCAATATTAAAAATGCTCTTAACAAATATTTTTTTCTCTTATATAGTATTAATCTTTGTACAAATGAAATATGACACGTTTACAATTATTTTGGAAATTATTTCGAATATATTCAGGATGCAAAATTTTACATATGATCGCACTATGAAAAACCGTTTTTCGTCACCACTTTCTATATGACCTGAAAGTTATGAAATTTTTATATTGATTTAGTCAAGCAGAAAGGCACACAGTTCAACACTTCAAATTGAATTGAAACATTTCTTGCGCAAAGTCAATTTAAATATAAAAAAAATGAATGCGAATAAAAAAATAATCAAGTTATTTGTCAAGAGAATTGTAATGTTGTCGTTTTTTTCTATTGGAATCATTTGACATATGTAATGTCAAAGATAGCACACACATATATCATAACACTTAACATGTTACTATATTTTTACGTTTGTATTGATTGTCAGAAGAAGCGATAAAAGTTTACTGTGTTAAAAACAATAAATATTATATGTCGAAATCTATATATTTGTCTGTCAATTCTTTCTACCAATGTCAAAATATTATTGATATTCATATAAAAATATGAGCTGTTAAAATCACTTTTTGTAATCTCAATTTTTTTTTTCAGTAAAAACAATGAATATGTTGCGGAAATATTATTTCAACCATTAGGTTTACTATTAACTATTAAGTTTACGTTTGAAGGTAGATGACTACCAATTTCTGCATGTGATTTTTTTAAAATGAAGCAATGAATATAATTGATTTTACATTTATTCCATCATTCCGCATTATAATCATATTTTAAATCTGAAAAAAAAGAAAAATTCCAAGATCCTTAGTTTTTTTATAGCTACTTGGAATTTTTGTTCTGCACATAAATGAATTCTACTGTTATCGTAGTAGATTTTATTGCGCAAATAACTGGTGAGTTGTTATGCAATCTATAATCCAGCAGTTTAGTGATCAGGATATAATGTTCTTCGACGTAATATTTTTGTAATGTTGAATGGATGATTTGATAAAATAGATATTTCCATTTGATGATTTTCAAAATGGATATTTCTATTGGACATATTTTGAACATTAAAATGTAATCTTATACTTAAACAAATTGATAGCTAATGACATAAAGGATATATTACCTCGTATTGGAAATGGTTTTGTTTGAATAGTTTCTGATGCGGAAGGGATTCTATTTAACGAAGCCGTGGGCGACATTGCACTTGAATTAATTTTGTCTTTAAATGTCTATTAATTCTTTAATAAAATCACTTGTAATTTTATTCATGTCAGTAGATTGATTTGGACCATTTTTGTTGATTTAAGAATCAGCATAGCATCATCATTACATTGAAAGGTTTTCAGTCGGAAAGAATACTATATAGATAACTATCCAATCACTTGTACAGACACAAACACAGATATTTTGTGGATTCGTTATCGTTGAGGAGTTTTTGCCTATGTTAATTTGATAACAAGTAATAACTTTTTCTAATTACGCTATAATAATTTTTTAGTGTAATTCGGCACTAAACTATGAAACCTGAAAACTATCCTCACTTCTTCCCTGATTTCGTGCAATTGAAGTTTTACAATTTTCGATAAAATAACACAAAAAAGAGAGATAATTGTCTGATATTGTCGGATATGAAAGGTTTCTGTCAATTAAAATCCGAATTCGTAACACTATGCATTGACAACTGTAACTGTAATTGACAAAAGTGTTGCGCGTGACAGCAACAACAAATACAAATACATACGCAATCGGCTACAAGCACATGCGGACAGGAGATGAATTAAGAAAAGAAAAGATAGCTGCTATGCTATATTGTGAAAGAATTGCGAAAAAAGCGTTATTATCATATTATTCCAAATATTCAGCACGGATGTGGACTATTCTGATAATTGTGATAGAATCACTTTATTATCTTTGTAATTAATGAAGCTGAACACACGCATAAAAACTGGTATTTTACCGTTTCGTTGAAAGTACCTTTTATATTTTAATAAACCCGATGAAGATTTCTCACTGACACACAAAGGATAATGACTCAGAACAACAGTTCAACACTTGAAATTTAATTGAAACATTTCGTGCACAATGTCAAATTGAATATTACAGAGGAAATATCATTTCACAAAACAACTACAAACGCATGAACGAACTCGTCGCCATTAACGTCATTGTTTTAGTTATTTATTATTATCGTAAGATGATTTTGATCGGTATTATTATTCTTTATTTTCATATATTTGAAATTATAAATATTAAAAATGTCATAATTCTAGAAAATAAAAGACGAAATAGATGTTATTTAAAGTATTCAAAATTGTTTTTTTTTGTATTATGAGTTTGTAATTGTTCTCTAGTCCAAATTTGTTTCACCAAAGTAACCATCTTGTGATTTACTACAAAGAGATAACACACGTTAACAGATTGGTGAATTAAATATGTTGAAATGAATAATGAATGTTACCTGTGTTGTATTAAAATTTGATCCAGTCGATTGGCCTATTGTATTGGCAAATGTATTTTATTTTTAATATTGATTTATTTAAAATTGAATGTAACAAGGTTATCGAAACGACAAATCTTTTACCTGGTACTGAGAATTGGGGTCTGAATGTTGAAAAATTACCAGAGTTGCCCGCGAAATGTGCCAATGATGTTCCTTGGAAGCCAGGAGGGAATTGCGGTATTTGTGGTACTATGATAGTTAAGAATATATTTTAAAGGTAATGAGAATCAATTCCATGTCAATACTTTTCACGATATTCAATAGTAGGCGTCGTACCTGTGTTGTTAGTATTTCCTGCTGTAGCTGCTAAACGCGATAAAATTGAGCGTTCCGACATTTGTAGACGTTGTGCAACCGGCGGAATTCTTGCCAATGTGGCTGGTAAACGTGATACATCACTCTTCATATCACTCAATAATTCTTCTAGCTGGTTCAATACTTTGTGTAACACTGCATTTGCTGGTTTATTTCCAGCCAGTGATTCCTTGCTCAAATGTTGATGTGATTCAGCTAAGCATTCTACTTCGGCAAACCGCGAATTAAGGGACATTGCCGGGTGATTTGGATCTTGAGCTAAGTTCAGGTAAGCGGCTCGACGCAATTGTTCTTCAATCACCAATGCTTGCTCCAATAGTTTGAAGCGACGGGCCAAGAACTTGTTTTTGATTTCTAGGAAATTCCCCTTTCCCACATCCATTTTGAATGGTTCATTAATTATTGCAAAACGAATGTCTTGTTGAATATCTTGCCAACGTCCATACCTGAAAATAAAATTTCATATGTGTGGTCAAGCTATAATTTCTACTGTCTTATGATTTCCAAACTCTCTATCTCCCTAGGAACTCTTCAGTAATGGAGTAGTAATTTTTAAAAGTCCATACCCATGTGTTACAATACCAGCAAGAAGCCAGTAGTCATGCCGTCTGTGCCAAATTTCATATTCTCGACCTGTTTCGATAACGTTTTTTGCATTTACATAATACAATACATCGATATTAAAAATAAAATCCATTTGAATTGACACTAACCTGGAACAGCTGCTTTTTCTTCGTTTAACCAAAGGGTATGCAATTCAGTGAAACCTCCATCAGCAATATTAAACATGAAATTACGTTTATGCACCTCCAAATTGCCTTCCACTTTAGTTTCTATTTTCTTCTCATCTTCATCATCCTTCACTATAACAACGTCATCGTCATCATCATCAATTGATGCCACAGATTGTTTTTCTTTCTTTTCATCATCGTTTTCTTCTTCTTTGATTTTTTCACTATTACCTAGGGATGATAAAAAAAAGAATGTAAAAATAGAAATTAATCAATAAGTAAAGGAAATAAATGGACAAAGAATCGAAAAAATGGATCAGGAATTGTAGAGTAATCATTACTTTCAACTTTTTCTTCTACATTTTCTTTCGGTTCCTCTTTATTGGATTGGTGGTGGTCCTTGAAGAAGAAGAAGAACAAATATTATTTGTTAGATATTATTTATTTGAACTATTTTTAATATATTACACTCACAGAGTTCGATTCTGTTCCATTCTTATTAGTTTCCACTTTGACTATGGTCTTCGTCGTGTCTATATCATCTGCATTCGATGTATCTACAGATACTTTTTCTTCTCCATCTAATTTCTTATCTTTCTCAATTTTTTCTTTATCACCATCGGTGACGGTGCTGCCCTCAATTTCGATTGTATCGATTGGTGCAGGGCTTGCACTTGCGCTAGTTGTTTCACTTCGATCACCACATTGTTGTTGATGAGCGGTGTTCGATTTTTGTTGTTCCAAATTGTTTTTATTTCGAATTAATTCAGGCATGCTATAAAATCCATTTATATGCTCGAATTCTTGAACTTTCTTACGAATTAATGACATCACACCAATGCGTGTTAGCACATGTTGTCTAGATAAACCTTCCCGTGGTACACCATCAGCAAATGTTTCCGCATTATCTGCACCTTTGTTTGCGAAATAAAAAACATATGACATTAAAAATTAAATAAATTTGAATGAACACTTGATTTTACCTGGTTCACATAAATGTCGCATAAACAATGATACGTATGCCTTGAAATTCTTTTCAGATTTTCCTCGTAAGTCTCGTACAAGCCATTGCGAATTAAAAGCATCTTGTGGAGGCATGCCATAACGCATAATTGCATTCAAGAAGCTCTTTCGTTGACGTGTATTGAATCCCAAAACTTCAATATTTCCACCAACACGAGCCAAGAGAGGTGGTAATGGACGATCACGTTCTTCCTTTCTTTCCATACGACGTCTGCTTCGGCGCGACAAGTCTCCTCCATTTTCGTTACGTTCATCAAAGTCATCGTCTTCATTATCCTCTCCACTTCCACCAGAATAGTCAGAGTTATAATCGGTTCCACTGATTTGTAAATGATGTTAATGTTTTGTGGGTTATTTAAAATTATATTAAATATAATTATATACCTTTCTTGCCAATTTGAATCGTCACGTGGCTCTGCTGCTACTACTCCGCCATCAGTATAATTGACTTGTTTACGTACGCGTTTTCCTTTACCCAAAGCTCTACCGATATCTTCTTGTTGCTGTTCATAGTGATGTCGCAGTAATTTAACCCAGTAGGCAGGATCAGAATTTTCTGCTTCCTGTTTGATAACTTCGCGTTCTTCTTGGTCTTCATTTTCATCTTTCGTGGTCGCATACGAAGCCACTTTGAATGATGACAGGTACTCATTGGCCCAACTTTCTTTTTCTTCCAAGCCACGGTTTGATCTATCCAGTAATTCCGCAACAGCTTTGTCATCATAGTGAATAGCTTGAGAGTCTTCACCATTATTTTCATCTTCTTTGAATAATTCCTCGGTTCCGAATTTCAAAATGTCATCCATTTCTTGTTTAGTGAAATTGGCACCCTTTCCACCCATACCAGGTCGTACAACCAAATGCGTTAACATCATTTTGCGTTTTGCAACTTGAGTGACACGCTCCTCAACCGAATTTCTTGTAACGAATCGATAGATCATCACTTTATTTGCTTGTCCAATACGATGTGCACGTGAAAATGCTTGTATATCATTGTGTGGGTTCCAATCTGAGTCATAAATAATTACTGTGTCTGCTGTAGCCAAATTAATACCAAGTCCCCCAGCTCGAGTCGAAAGCAAGAATACAAATTGTTGAGCGCCAGGTGCATTGAATCGATCGATAGCTTCTTGTCGAATGTTACCAGTAATAGTACCATCAATTCGCTCATATTTATATCCTTCCCCATCAAGGAAATCTTCAAGAATGTCTAACATTTTTGTCATTTGTGAAAAAATTAACACACGATGACCCTGCTCCTTTAACTGTTTCAACATTTTTGAAAGTAACACCAATTTTCCAGCTGCTTTTGTTAAGGGTTCAATTGCATAACCACCGCCTGGCGTTAGTTTAATATTAAAATATATTTGAACGTTGTTACTAAAAGCTCATGAATAAAATGTTTTCTAGTTTTTTATAATTACTATCGATTTATTGGAATTTGAATGGATCAATGATGTCAAAGCAACGAATCAAATAATCGTATAAATTCTGAATCTCTTCGGCGGACAATTGTGCGATAATCCCGGAAACTGTGCTACTTCGTGTCACCTCATTCGCCGCAATGGAATTCAAGATGGATTCAAGCCCATCTACCCCGCGTTGTCCACAACCAGAAAACGATATTCGAGTGCAGAACTCCATATCTTCATTTTTACCACTATTCCACCGTACGTTTCTTCGTCTCTCGCTCGGATTGGTTTGCCATTAACTTTATTCCGCAAATTCCGTAAATGCTCATATTTTCTTTTCTCATAATCAGTCGTTAATCGTTTTGTCGTTTATGTGACCGGTCTCAAATGTTTTCCAAGTAATTTGTGGCATTGCTTGCCATTGTAAAATTGTTTTTTTTTTTTTTTTGAATATATTTGTTGTTTGGGTTAAAGGATGTTTTTTTTTAATGTATATTTTTGCCCTTTTTTTCGTTCCACAGTTGTTGTAGCATCGATCCACGAACTTTAATTTTATATTGGGTAGCAACTCATGATGTGTTTGGCACACACAACAAAACAGCTCGTGGCATGACGATGATTTGAATGCTTTTGTTGCAAATCAAAACCGATGATTTGATTGGAGCGAAGAACACAGAAAAGAGAAGTTTTTTTCTAGAATTTTATAATATGTATCAACAATTCAGGCATTTGAATGCAATAAACTTTATGAATGAATCAGAACGTTAGGCCAGAATATTGCAACCAAATCCAGATGAAGAAACATTGGATGAAACTATTTGTCGTATTCCCAAACAAAACGATTTCTTTTTTTTTTCGATTTGAACAGACAATCAGAGTTGAAGGTTTTCCGTTTAATTTCCATTCAGATGCACCGAATTGCACTGTTACAAGTGGTCAATTTGAACAACGCACTCAGAAACGAAGTTTGCCAAATTTCTTTTCACCACCATCGCCAAAACAAGCCAAGCTCACGAAAACAGAACTACTGCACATGCTTGACACAAAAAATGATCCTGTTAAGTATTGTGCACTTTCGACCCAAATGATCCGGGTTTTCAAGTGTTCATTTCAAAAATTGTGCCGGCATTTGAGCAGAACGAAAGGCGAATGTGGGAAAAAGTGCTGGCGCATTCGGGCAAAGTATACGTGGCTATTGAAAAAAAAAGGGGCAACATGCGCCAAAAGATACTTTATAATGGCAAGCAATGCCGCAAATTAGCTGAAAGCTAATGAAGACCGGTCACACCAACGACAAAACGATTACCGATTGATAATGCATATAGAAAATATGAGCATTTACATAATTTCCAGAAAAAAGTCAATGGCAAACCAATCCGAGCGAACGAGAAAGAAAAAAACGGAAAAATGGTGGCAAAAATGAAGAAATGAAGGTCTGAACTCGAACATCGTATTCTGGCTATAGACAACGCGGATGTAGATTGAGGTGGAGTGATTTTGATCTTTTTTGGGAGTATTGATGTGTACACTTGGATTTATATGTGTCTTGGCGCCCCGAATCACTTATTGTACAACTTCTAATGTGTTATTTAAGTTGCTCAGGTCTCACCAGTAGTTCAGTACTACCTTTTTACGGTAGATATCGTGGATATCGCATATCCAAGACACCAACCTAACGCGAAGTTTTTTTTTAACACTCTATTTTACGTGTGTCTGTACTGAACCCATATCTTCATTGTGCACACACACGGGACCGACGGCTTTAAGTGCCCTCCGAAGCACTCCACAAGTATCAGACTTCTTTCGAACTTCTTTTCATTAAACCACCGATGATTCCTGAGCGTAAATTAACCTGAGCAACGAGAAACCATGGATATTACTGAAAAGTTGACCTAGTATGCTCCCCGTACAAATCCAATGGCTGAGTCAAGATATGTAAGATATAGCATATATCACTTCAAAATCGGTGTCAATAGTTGACGACAGAAATAAATGAAATCTAAAAAAATAAATGAATGGTTGAAAAAACTGATAACTGATGGCAAATAATAAGTGTTCTATTTAGTTTTTAAGTAAATTTTCGTAGTCTTTCGTTAAACGAAGCTCGTGGGAGGATTTTTCAACTTGCTAGCTTTGTGTATATTGTTGAATTTCTCTCACTTTCTTCTGAAACCACTTTCGATGAATTGCTTGTGAATTCCACAACTCTTTCTACAGCTTGACTGTGGCAATGCCACAAATTACTTAAAAACTAAAATAGTATAATAGGAACAGTTATTATGCCATCAGCTATCAGCTTTTTCAATCATTCATTTTTTTTTTCTTCAAAAAAATTAAAATATATGTTAATTTCATGCATTTCTTCTGTCAACTATTGACGCGCATTTTGATGTAATATATCCTATATCTTACATTAAATGGTAAAACCACATAAAAATCATGCGAATAAACTTAAATAACACATTAAAAGTTGTAATATAAGTAATTTTTTTCATTTCGAGAAAACAGTAATTTTTATGAATTTTTATCAAAACTGGTATACTTCAAGAGAATGGTATACATCCTGATTCGGGGCGCCAAGACACATATAAATCCAAGTGTACAGATCAAAGCTCGAAAAACGCTCCACCCTATCTACATTGTAGATGGGCTTGAATACGTCTTGAATTCCATTGCGGCGACTGAGGAACAGGTGACACAAAGTAGCACATTTTCCGCGATTTCCGCACAATTGTCCGCCGAAGATATTCAGAATTTACACTATTATTTGATTCGTTGCTTTGACAACATTGTTCCATTCGAATTCCAATAAATCGATATTAATAAAATGAATGATTTTACCTGGTCCAAGTGGAGCCTCTTCGGCAGCAGCTGTAAACAAATACGGATGGTTACAACACTTTTTTAAATCCATCATAATATTAAGAAGCGAGCAAGCGCTACCGCCCGTTTTGGGATTCAGAGCTTCGAAATTTTTAGTCAATATATATTTGTAGTATTTCTTTTGTAATGGTGAAAGCTCAACACGAACGATGAATTCAGATTTGGATGGCATATTCTTCAATACGTCTGCTTTTAAACGACGTAGCATATGTGGTCCCAGCATTTCATGCAATCGCTTAACTTGTTCCTCTTTTGAGACATCTGCAAATTCACTTTGAAACTCTGCTAAATCATTGAATTTGTTTTTGTTCAAGAAATTCAACAAATGAAATAGTTCTTCGAGGTTATTTTGCAATGGAGTTCCAGTCAATAGTAGTTTGTAAGCGATATTGTATGTGGCCAAACATTTAAAGAATTTACTTTGGTTGCTTTTCAACCGATGAGCTTCATCAACCACAAGCATTGCCCAATCAATTGAACCGAGGCAACTTTGATCAATGGAAATTAGCTCATAGCTTGTCAGCAAAACGTTAAATTTGACATTATTCGAACGCAGCTTTGATGGTCGAGCTCCACCTCGAATAGCACCCTCTTCGAATGAAAGTTCATTTTCGCGGATAATAGCTCTAGAATCTTTGTCTCCAACATACGTAATACAATAGAAATCCGGTGCCCATAGCTCGAATTCTCTCTCCCAGTTGATTAGTGTTGACAGTGGTACAGCAATTAAGAATGGACCTTTGCAATGCCCTTCTTTATACAATGAATATAAGAACGTTGCGGTTTGAATTGTCTTTCCCAAACCCATTTCATCTGCAAAAGCGCAAAAATAGCAATGATATGAAAATTAAAAAAAAAATTGAATGTTAAAAATGTATCATACCTGCTAAAATTGTATCGATTCCATTTGCCCATGAGTAACGCAACCAGTTAATACCTATGTCATACAAAACAAATGCATTATAAAAATTATACTACAAGAAAATAGATGGATATAGATGAATACATAGTGAATCTCAACAAAGCAATGCCCACAAATAAAATTGAAATCGCTCGAATAAAACAACATTGCTTGAATTTAAGTTTGTAAGTTTAAAACTCATACTCCTGTGAAAAAGACTTTCAACGTTTTTTTATGTTATGTTTCTAACAAATCTTAAATTTTTTCAGATTTTTTGTTGGCATAACGCGACTTATCTTCTTTGATATGTGTAGTCAAAATGCTACTTGTAGATTGAGATATTTGATATTCGGATTTTATTTATAGAGTCCCATACAATTTACAATTATCTCCTCCACTACCACTAGCCAATTTATACCTTCCAGTTGATATGGATGCAGTTGCATTCCGGTATCATTCAAATATTGCGGTTGAACTTCTAGTTTCTTCTTTAAATCGGTGACAGGCTTTTCCAGAGGTGGTGTATAACGTTTGTAAGGTTTATCTTCATCGTCCAAATCACGATTTCGACTCTTACGGCCCTTTTTTCCTTTCTTTCGCGAAGATCCATCGCTCGTTAAAGCCGCTCGTAGGTCCGTGTAATATTCAATAGCTGCTTTGAGTCCAGGAATTTCATCGTTATCTTCTTCCCAAGTACATTGGTCGTAAGGTAATTCACGCCATTTGACAAAATACAAAATTGTACCATCACGCATGGTACGATGATTTATAACGCGATGAACCATAAGCCATTCAGGCTTTACGCCATATCTGTAGTACTTTTCTTCTAAAGCATTTTCATCAACTTCTTGTCCTTCAGCTTTATGCATTTGAATGCGTTTGTAGCGGTTATCAGCTTCCTCCAATGCTTCTTCAAGCTTCGGTGGTTCTTCCATGTCATATTTTCGAATATATGATCGGAACATTAGTGGATGAAAAACATCCAATTGTAGTTCAGTAACCCAATCACAATGCCAATAAGATTGTTCTTGCCATTTAACGAAAAATTCACGTTCTCGTCGAATTTGCGGTTTTTTTGATGTTGAGGCTTCACCCTCAACTGGAATTTCTTTCCATCGCCAAGTTATTATGCGTTGAATTTTCGCTGGCAGTGTTGGACAACTGCATCGAGGACAACGCCAATCACCATCCGGAATTTCATATAGCGGAGGACGCAAACAGAATGTATGATAAGCCGATGGGCAAGAGTCACAACATAACAATTCACCACCATCCTTACATACTCCTGTAAGATGTATTATATTTAATAAAAAAATACAACAATGATCAACTAAAAAAATGATAATATAACTTACGGCAAAACTCTTGGTGTTCATCATCCTCGTCTTCCTGTTCAATGGGACCATCAGCCTCACATGCTGGACAAGACCACTTTCCTTCTGGTGCTTCGTCTAGCTCTGGTTCCAAGCACACCAAGTGATAAGCTTTCGGACATGTGTCACACAAAATAATTTCACCACCTTGTTGACAAACCTCACAATAGTCCTGATGCTCATGTTCTCCATCATCTCCCTCGGGAAAACGATTGGTGGTTTTTGTTTTCTTCTTCTTTTTATTTTTCATTCCAATCTTGGTTTTGGCCTTTTTCTTAATAATTGGCTCATTTGAGGCATCGTCGTTACTTTTCGATTTTTCTTCACTTTCTCTATCTTGCTTCTCATCAGATTTTTGCAACATTTTCTCAAACTCAACGTCTGAATCACGTTCCGAGCGTTCGCTCATTTCAGCATCTTCATCAGAGCTTCCTTGTTTTCTTTTTCCAAATTTTATCTTCAACGTTGGCACTTTGCCTTGCTTGCGACGCTTACTAGCACTTCTACTACTCCCTATATGTTTTTGGATTTTAAAATGAAATGAATATTAATCTAATAATAAAAAAATTAAAATTTAAAAATGTCTCTTAAACTACTTTGAACACGGTTATATTATTGCTGTGATGTAATATTTCAATTTTTTTTAAATTTAGTATCTAAAATTAAACATTAATTAATAATGCTAACTAACGTTTGCTACGCTTCAATTTGACCTCAGGTTCATCATCTTCATCTTCTTCGTCGTCATAGTCATCATTTTTTTCTGGGGCAGCTGATTTTGATGAGCGCGATCTACTAGGCTTTGGTGTGTATTCAGGTGATCGGGGTGGCGATTCGTCATCATCTTTTGTTTCTTCTTGCAGGTGTGGATTCGATTCAGAGAATTCGCGCCATTTTGCTGCGACCAACATCATTAGCTTGGACATTGGTACTTTTGGATTCTCTTTTTGCAAGATAGGTCTCACATGTTGATTGAATAATTTGTATGTGGTCAAGTTTCGGAAGTCTTCATCGCTGAACTCAATATCCACATCAGTAAGGTCGAAGGAATTACATACGTCTTCAATTGTTGGCATGCCTTACACATTTAAATTATTATAATAATTTTTTATGTTAAATTAAAATATAAACACATACTTGTGTCAACCGTTCCACTGTTGGTAGCTTTAGATAGTTTTTCTTCCTTCTTTTTACTTCGACCTTTCTTTGTTGATGCATAATCAGAATCAATGACATCTTCTTCTGCTGGTGCAACAAAATCGCTATCCTCTCCACTGCCATTTTTCTTTCGCTTTTTCTTTTTGCGATTTTTGTCCGACTTTGCTTTCCGTTTTTTACCCTTTTTTCTCTTCGTACCGTGTTCAGGCTCATAATCATCATCATCATCCTTGAAATGATAAAAAATGAACATCAAATACATTGATATTATTTTGAAATCGAATGTTTATGTCTGTACCCTTACATTTGCAGCTATTTTTGCCAAATTTTCATCTGAATCGCCTGAACCATCTCCCCGTTGTTCTTCTTCTTCTTGTTGATCCTCTTCTTCAGCTGATATTGAAAAAAGGGAAATAAATAAAACCATAATGTAAAAATTAAAAGAATGTGGAAAATTCAAGGTAAATTCATGATATAGAAAACATTAGAACATTTGTTGCAAATATATTGATTTTCGAGTTTTAAATAATTATATCGATAGAGAAGAACTTTTTGCACTCTTCTTGAAAAGGAAATATATCTGAAATTATTACCGCGACAAATTTTGTATATATCTCTCATCGATATTTTGTTATTAAAAAAATTATACATTGTAAAGCATTCTTTAAAGTATATATGTTTTGAGCAATTGTAAAACGGAAAAACAAAAAAGAGCAAAATTCAATTGAGTAGCATATAACAACGGATTAAGCGTAAAAGAACGCACGTCACGCTACAGTGGTAGTCGTTAGGATGTTCACAATGATGGCAACCATTTTGGATCCACACAAACAAACTGCTTCACATTTTTAATAGACAATCTTTAATTGCTGAAATTCTAAACTGACTCATCACAATGTAAATATGGTCTACTGTACTAATATACCTAAATTTTTAATCCATTCTTTGATTATCCACCTACATGAACCCTTCATTATAATTTTGATATCCACAAAATATAGTGTAGCTCCAAAATGTACTCTTTATAAATGTTTCTATTAAATAAAATTGCAAACAACTCAGCTTTTGTTGTCATTTTTTCTTTCAACACTTAACATAATCGATTTGCAAGTGGCAATTATTCGATATCTTACCAGCGTAGGATTCCTCATTTTCATCGTCCGATGCCATGAGTGTTCGTTTATAGCTTTCTGGTTTCTTAGATTGGTAAATACAACCGGTAAATTGAATTCTGGCACAGAACTTTGTTGCTATTTTTTCTTATTATCTAACTGTTAAACAAAACAAGTTTAGGAAAAAGAACACCAATTATAACTATCTATTCACTTGTTTTACATGCATTCAATTTCTTGTTCGTTTCTTATTCTTCTTCTTCTTTTTCTACACGATTTATTTAGTGTCCCTAATACCTGCTAGATTTTTCTTGCGTCAAATATAAATGTTAGTGTCAAAAAATTATACCATCGGTTGCTTAGAACTTAATAGAAATATTAACTTTTCAGATAATTTTATGAATTAAGGTTAATTTTTATTATCGTTTTCGTGCGGATAGCGTTTACACAAACATAATATATTCGACTGTCGTCGGTGCATACAAATGCCACACTACATATAATATTTACAACATACAGTTGCCAGCATCGAAAAAAATATGGCGAATCGAATGTATTTTGTGGAAGAACGATAAACAGGGCTGCCCGATGAAAGAGATGTATCCAAACAACAGGCAGAACAACTTGATAGTGTTTAAGTTTTGATTAAACTTGTGTTCTATCAAGAAAAAATCTTCAATAAATTTTGACGGATTTCTAGAAAAGAACTAATTACTTGCTAAAATTCTTTCGTATATTATTTTACGCAAATGAATGAACATGCATATTATTGACCTGTAATACAATTGTGAAATTATGTTCTTATCGCGCATATTCGAATGTTATTCTTTTCATGTTTGATGCATGTGTGTATTACAGTGTATATTGGGTATGTGATCAGCTTATGAAAATTAGTAGACGCGTTTTGTTTTCTTCTTATCTATCCACAAAAGTAGTATAGAATACTTTTTCGTTGCATCTTAAATGTCTAACAAAAAATTATTTAAAAAAATTCTAGTAAACATTGGAATATATATAAAGTTTTATATATTTATGAAAAAATTGGTAAAAAACTTATATTGTATTATTTATCATAGTTTTTGATAATAAATCGAATAAAAAACAAATTATTACAATTGTTATATAAATATTACAGTTCAAACAAAGAAAAACAGGTGTAATGCGATAAGATTATATATTAAATTTCAAAACGAAAGAAAATATGAGAACAAATACTTCCAGAATTCAATTTTAAATGGTTTTAGTCAATAATCAAGTTCAATAAGTAAAAAGCCATCCTCTTTAGTTTTTATATTTTACATTCGATCAAATTTCCAATGGTATATAATATTATAAATTATATACACACAAATTAAGGTGCATAATTTTGCAAATGCGCTGTGATTGGGGGATACCCCTTATATGCAGTGTTTGCTTTAGATGACAATCTATTTTTAGATACTCAGATAAGATAGATAAGATGGTATCTAAACATCTCTCAAAATTTGACCATCTAATCTAATATCTATCTAGAAATATTAACGATATCTAAACATCTTTTCGTTAGATAGCGAAAAGATGAAAATCAAAATCGTATGGAAGAAAGGATATTTTAACCTTCATTTGAATTGACAAAAGGTTCAAAATCAATATGTATGCATATAAAACGGCTATTTGGCAAATTGGATTGGCAACTTATCGTAATTATTTTGTTCTGTTTACGATTGATATTTTTTATTAGAATTACACATAAGGCACTGTTTAGATCAATGAATACATCGACGAATACAAAGTCAATTTGTCTTTTTATGACAAAATCAAGTTCATTTTCTTTTCATATTTTGCTTTGCGGTCGTTTTTTTCTATTTCTGCCATATATATATTTTGTTTTTGTTGTCGGTCGTCCAGTGGCGACAAATACAAGGAAAAATAGTTGAGAATGGATGGGGAAAACGACAGTAATTCATGTCGTCGATATAATATTTTACATATAAAAATGTAACATATTTAAATTGGCTTTCACTTGTTTTCATCTGAAAAGTATCTAGAAAAAATACTTAGATAGATACTATATAGATGGTATCTAGATAGTTTTTTTAGATACTCATCTTTATCTATAGCTAGATGGTTTTCAAAAAAACTGTTTTTATCTATATCTTATCTAGATTAATTTACACCATCTAAAATAAACACTGTTTATATGCATGGAAATTTCTTCAAATTTGCTAACCAGGATGCTGATTCCAAATTTTGAGGTTTCAGGCCGAAAAAATCATACCTTGAGGGGTTACGACCCCCGACCCCCTTGGGGGGTGAGGGTACATGGAGGGTAGGGGTCCTAAAAAATTTCTCTCGAGTAGTATAGATATGTACATTTCGTCCAACCATAGGCAACAGAGGGGGGTCAAAAAATCTATGAAATTCGCGAGGGGAGAGAGGAAAACAGTTTCCGTTTATCGCGCATGCGCGAGGGGAAAAGTGGAAACTCTCTCGTCATTCTGGACAACTTTGAAGTACATTATTTTTTGATCCGAAGAATTTTTGACAATAGGGAGTGCCCTCCGCCCTTACTAGCCCATTAGCGCACCCCTTATTTTCACAAAATTATTTTTTCGGTACTTTATGTCGATCTATATAAGTGAAATTGATAACTTTTTGTGACACTTTGAGTAAGAAAAAAAAATCAAACAATTTCGAATCATACAAAACGTAATAAATAATTGTTTGAAGTAATTTAATCAATAAAAAAAAATTGTGAATCTTATTTTCTATCCAAAATACACAATCTTAGTAAATTTGAAGAAATGTCAATACAATTCAGGATGTTGGCTTTTTGTGAAAAAAGAACCTGTGCAAAGTGTAACATCATTACGATATCATACATAGCTCCACTACAAAAATTAACATTTTTAGTTATTTTTGTGTAAATAATGTGTCAAAAATTATTTGTATAGCAAAACTAATGTCAGATTCGGGTTTCTTGTAAATTCAAAATCAAGTAAAATTTATGTTGTGGATCACAGTATGGAAAAGTACATTTTACGAATTTAAGACATTTAATTTTCTCTGAGGTGCTCATACCTATATTTGAATTTATTAAATTAAAAATTAAAAATTTGATAAATTAAAAATTAGAAATTTTAAAATTCTACTACATGGGCTGATGAGTTCTTAGAATCGGACACTAGATGGTGACACAAGTAAATATCCATCTCATTTTTAGGAAAAGCCATCCTTTTTAGGAATGCCAACGGAATTTGAGCCAAATCTGTTCTTGAACTCGGAAATTACAACTGTTGGAAGGGACCAACCTCCAGTTTTTTCTTAAAATGCAAAACGAATCAAAATTCATTTGTTAAATAATTATAAATTTTTGTTTCTTATACCTATCAGTGAAACCAAAACCGAGCAAGATGGTATTGTTTGGACTGTCTACTATCGATTAGGGCCATTGAGAAGTAGTCTATTGAGTTTGCATGTGGTCGTACAGACCGAAGTAATTATTGCCTCTAAAATGGTAGTTTTTGAAGAGATGCTTCAATAAAAAAGGTCAAAAATTCGAATTTTTGGCTTTAGCTCGTATTCCTTGGAAGTGTATTGTTCGGAATGTTGCTTTATCATCTTGAATGGAATGAAGCGATGCCAAAGAAAAAATCCATGTCATTTTTGAACTTTTTGAATCGAGAAAATACTGTTTTTTCAAGAAAATGTATAATTTAAAATTGTTATCAAAAACCGCCTCGGGAAGCCATACACGGTGGCGAAATTCCACCAAGTTGAAAACGTATGAACTTCATATTTCTGGTGTGAACTGGTGGGACCTTTATCTATACCCTGGAGAGAGAAATAGATTTGCATCCAGCCCGGCCTTTGAAATAAAGACATGAAATGAAGAATTTGGTACGATTTTGAGGTATTGTTCCTTCTTGTGGTGTAACCTCTGATTCCATGAACAGATTTGGCTCAAATTCCGTTGGCATTCCTAAAAAGGATGGCTCTTCCTAAAAATGAGATGGATATTTACTTGTGTCGCCATCTTGTGTCCGATTCTAAGAACTTATCAGCCCATGTAGTATTAGTAAATTATGTGTGTGTTATTCTATATTGTTGATAGTTAAAAACTAAATTATTCTCTAAAAAATCTTGAATTCTCTTTTTGACAATATTAATATCTAAATCTATTAATTCAATATCACTATTATTTGAATGTAATTAATTGGTTCATACAAAGTGTTATTATTTCTACTTGTAGGCAATTTGAAAAATTAATAACATTAATTCTTTCGATAATTTCGATATTATTAAGTTTATCCGACCATGAGAATTTCCACCAAAAACTTTTATCATAAACATTTTTTTTTCTCAGATTGAAACGTAATCTTAAATCTTATCGAATCGGCCAAAAATCTAAATGGACCAATGGCATGGAGTCGGCCGAACCTCTTCAAGGCGGCTTTTTTATTATGTCTTCTCCTTTTGTTGTTGCTAAACATTTCATATTTTCGAAGAAAGGAAATAAGGTTAGCTTTTCAGAATATTTGTAATCTTTGTTTTCACTCCCTAATATAAAAAATGTTAAAAACACCTACAGAAGTGGGATCTTATGGCCCATGCCTTTTCATTCCGAACTGAGAACAAAAGATAAATATAATAACGAAAAAAGAACAACAAATGAAAATGCATCTGAACAAACTTTATCTACAGAGCATCGTTTGAGAAACAAGAAAGAACAAAGCAATACAACCATTAACCATACAAAATCAATTTTATCGACAACAAATCTTAAAGAGGGGTAAGTAGATCCAAAATGTTACATTTATAAAACTGTTGTTTATTATTTAAAAATACTACCACGTAGAGAATTATAAACGAGTTATAAACTACACAATGTGTTCACTAGATACACATTCCGGTACTAATAGCCGAAAAGTGCAAGGCTACCGCAAAGCCACCTTATAAAAAATCCAGCCCAGTAAATAAGAAAAAACGTCACAAAATATTATTTTTAATATTAATTCTAATGATGCTGCTTCGGTTGCATTTTATTAATTCGCTACATTGAGAACGTTTCCATCAAGCTCCATCTCATCATCCTCAAACTGAGAAATAATATTCATCATCGAACAGTTCAATGTAGTTAGCAATATCCTGCTTTGCTTGTTGAACAGGTGGCTGTGCTCGCTCAAGTGATGGATGAATAGCAATTTCCTTCACTTATTAATTACCTGAAGCAATTAGATACAGATATTTTTAATCTACATTTATAATAAATTCAATATTATCTTTGTAAAAGATGTTTTTGCTGCTACAATGTCGCGATGCCAGACAGTGGTGGTTTGAATTGCAGGTTGGCATCCATTCGTTAGCGGCATTTAGATACCATTTGAAAAACACGATGATTTTTGGCACTAAACGTTTGGCTGCTTGTAATGGATGTACGATTGCATTTTGAGCTGCTTGCATTTATAACTGGACGTTGAAAATTGATGTTATATTGACTCGGTCTTCTCTCTTCTTCTTGCGTGCTCCTTGCTATATCGATAAGATCACTCTTGCTATTATTGATTGGTTATACACAAAGCACTAGCAGCACACTTTGAACTGATGACTCTTTGTACGTGGATCAAAAACAAGTCTGTGATGTCATATATTCGTCAACGAAATGAACAATACAATTGTCGAGCTTTTTGAAGCTATTGACCAATCATGTGGTTACTGGGCATCGATAAAGAACGATGTAAATTTTTCATATAACGAGTGAGCCAGCAGTTTTTGACTGAGAGTTTGTCTAACCCACAGCAATGAAACGACAACAACAATAACACATATTTTTAGTGTCAAAATTTTGATGTCAAATGGTGTCGACATTGGTGTGGGTATTTTGAAACAGACTGTGTAATCCATATTCATCGTATATGATCCTATGTAAAGTTCTATACTTGATCTAGTTCACATTGACGGTTCAAATCGTTTTTTTGGACTGTGTGTTTCTTCTGTTACATGTACGTTGTAATGGATAAGTATAATGACATGGCGTCGTTCAAATAAATTTAAAAATCCGTCCACTCGTGTCGACACCATCTAGCACGGTAGTTGGGATTTCATTGCTGTGGTCTAACCCTACATTTGTCATAACTGAGCGGAGTGCGTTTAACTCTCAAATGGCACATTTGCATCGCAATTAAGAATTAAATAAATTGAAAGGGAAATATTAAAAACGATGATAATACGAAAAAAGTATTAATCATTCAAAGTAATTGGAATAATAAAAATAAAATAAAATAATATTTATATTTGTATCATTTGATTTTTCGGGTGAATCCTTCTATCGTGAATTAAACGTCCGTTGTTTTGTTATGATATTATATGCAGGGTTTTACAAATTTGCAAGCAATGACAGCTGGCTCACTCTTTGGCATTGTTCTTTGGTGCCATTTGTGCTACTCCAATATGAATGTCACATGCTTTCTTAATTGCTAACTTGGCCGCTGTGCCGTAACTAATACACATCGATTCAAGCTTGAGTTGTTATTTTTTTCCTGAAATGAAATGCACAAATAAATAAATAATAATGAAATTTGTTCAATACTCATTTCTGTGCCTGATTTAATGTGTTTTCCATGAATCTCGAATACGCTGTAGCAGAATGTCTGTGTCAATAGCCGATTGTTCGATTTTTGATGTTGTGAATAAAAATGATGCAGCAACACCGTCGGTAACAAATTGGAAATAAAATGATTTTTTCTTTGCCAGACGCTTGGTTTTGTTCATGTAATTTATGTTTCCAATATATGTACCTAATAATTCTCTTTATATTCATCTGCAGACATGTTTTATTTGCGATAGTTCAATAAATTGAGAAGCTTCGAAGTATTCATTTTTTATTGCACATTGAAAGAAGAAGGCGCGATCAATTTGAATGTGTTTGAGATCTCGATAGTCTAGGTGGTTTTGGAAATTCGGCATACTCATCGTGAAACGTATCGATGCGGCGTTGAATTGTCAAGAACATTTCATGGGAATGAAACCATTTATTTTTAACAAAACATGGCATTTTTCATCGGCTGGCCCATCCAAAGCAATTTCAATTTTGTCAAACGGATTACGGTAACACGACATTGACCTTTCATCAAATGTTTGATGGCATTTTTGGTGTCTTGTACATCAATACGACGCTCTGCTTTAATAATGACTCCATTCATATGCCACTATTTTCAAATAAAATTGTAATTGTATGCATTTCTTAGTCTTCATCTTGTTGGCCAAATGAATCGTGTTGGAATCAAACGTCGAAAATTATCTGAAACCATACTACCGATATTCTCAGCAAGAACTGACAGAAAACAATTTTCGATTACTTCATTTCCTTTCTTATTGAAAATTCATAGTCGTTATCATTTATTCACGACTATAACAACTCTAAACACAAAAACAAATTCTTGGAAAATACACATTTACTGTTTGCTGACATACATATAAATACAAATGGTCATATAACGCGAAACGTAGAATATCCACATATTTTTAAAACAATAAACATTAACAAAAAAAAAAATTTCTTTTTGATCTATGTGTGCCTGTGCTGACTCAGATACTTTCTCTCTTTATCATTGCATGCTGTTGATGCGTTCAACAATTTTTTATCAAAACACCATTAATATATAATTTATTATTTAGTAATAAACTAAATTTTGCAATTTTTTTTATGAAACTATAGCACCTTTGCAGCACAAAAAGAAAGCGCTCTAAATGAATGTGATAATTCTTCATCATTACAAAATATTCATAAAGATGAGAGTATGATGACGTCAGCCCATACGTCTTTTAAAAGCCCATTCTTATCTAAGTTGATGACAAAATTTGGTTTAAATACCTGTCCATTAAATCCACCAAATTTGAAAGGACCAATTAAAGCTGACACAGAATTTGAGTCATTATCATCGATAGAAAAACGATTTCGCGATCTTTTACTACCTGGTGGCTGGTACAAACCACAAAAATGCAATCCAAAAGATCGTGTCGCAATAGTTATTCCATATCGCGATCGTGCTGATCATCTACCAATCTTCCTAAAAAATATTCATTCATTGTTAATGAAACAACAAGTAGAGTATGGCATTTTTGTAATAGAGCAGATCACTGACGGTCTATTCAATCGGGCAGCTCTCATGAATGTTGGATTCTTGGAAGCATTAAAACTACGCCAATGGGATTGCTTCATTTTCCATGATGTCGATTTGATTCCTCTAGATGATAGAAATTTGTATAGATGTCCAGATCAACCGCGTCACATGTCAGTGGCTGTTGATACAATGGGGTACAAGTAAGTAAATTGTTACACAAGTTATTGTTTCATGGAGCTTTACAATATGTCGCCATATGGTAAAATTCAACTAACATTACTGTCCTTTAAATGATGTCGGGCGCACGTTCATAAACCTTCTTTGACGATAAACTAATTTGTGTCTATAACACAAATAGATATCCATGGAAATCATTTTCAATCGGGGAT